ACTTGTTTCAGAGTTTAGAAATACTAACTTGATACACACCATCGAATTCTTAATGCTTAATACCTGAGTATTTGAATAATGCCACTAAAATGGTAATTTATCACATCGGAAAACCACTTAATAATTCAACGAATTAAATAATTTTCGACCTGAATTTTCATGATCGTCAAAAATGATTACAGTAGTTAAGCGTTTTACGCTTCATAATATAAGTGTTGGAAATACAAAACGTCTATGAGTGGAGCTAGGATGAAGGTGATTTGCAAAAACGTTCCAAATGTTGTGCTAAACAACAGAATCGACCAATGAATGACCAGTGGTGATATCTGATTTACAACTCTGTTATAGCTTAGATAATTATTAAAATTAATTTTGTGACCAGACATGCATTTTTTTTAAATTGACCAAAGAAATCTCATTTCGTCTCGTTTAATCAATCTAAAGTGTATTTAGTAAAGAGATATTTTGTCGCTGATTTATACCAAGTTCAGAATAAATGAAAGGAAATCCTCAGCCTTATGTGCCCTTGATTCTATATAAAATCAGAATTATTGGTTAATACTTCAAAGAGTTTTCTACTTAACGTAAAATGTATCAGGAATGAAAACAAAAGTTTTAGTCACAGTGACAAACTAACAAACTGAGCAATTGTGTGTGACCTGAATTAATTATCTTAATAAAAAGAATGGAAACGTTTATTTCATATGTTATTGAGCATGTGATCACCTCTAAATGTCTAATCATATTTGAATAAAAGGTATAAACTCTGAGGACAGAAAACGATTTTAATATTACGACCAATTCTTTCAGAAATATCTAAAATAAGGGTTATACTGGGATGACGACCGTTAACACATGATGCCAAATAGTCTTTTAATTTAAAAAACAACAAACATTATTGTATATCTACTAGCTATTTATGGTGTTTTATAAACACGAATTAATTAATGCACTTCAATAATCGGTGAAAGTTCATGTATCTAGGTTTCAATCATACTTCAATTATGGCATTAAGTGAACACTGAAAAACAAGCAGGTGGGACTGAATTTCAATCTGCATATCAGAATCTTAGTGTATTACTAATAAAGTTGCTACTGTTTAATAATGTTACATTTAAAAACTTATGTGCGCGCCTTTTTTAATTAGTTTAGTAGAAACGTTGTAATTACTTTAGTTGGTCACTTAATATCTATAAATGTGTATTGCCATATATTATCCTTTCCTCGACAAATCATTATCAACTAATCATCCTGTAGTTCAATTAAGTTGCAGCTATTAATTTATTAGAATTAAAGATGATTTCATATGTAGATAAACATTCTTCAAGTAAGCACTCTTGATAAATTAACAATGAAAATCTACATTTTTTTTAAACGCTAATACTTGCCTTCTTTCAATATGCAACGTCGGTTCACTGTATCGTTTGAATTAATCAAGTTTAATTTATGTGAGTATTTTATAGATCTTTGCACAGTAAGATTGAATGAGATATTTTGTTATTTCAGCTTCTTACTGATGATTACTTAGATAAGTAAACTGTTGTTAGTTTATTTGAGTCGATTAACATTTGTGTATTTCTAAGAAAAAGTTAAACACAATACACAACATTGTTTTGTAACCTACCTGTAAAATCAATTCTATCCAGTTTCATAAATGTATATCAACAAAGACAGTTATTTGAAATCTAAATTATATTACTGATGTAAACAGTTATTTGCCGACTAATCGACCACTGAATAGTGACCAAGATCGTACTTGTCTAATTATCAGCACTGATCGAATGTTTGATGAAGTAGCACTATAGCCAGTAGTTAAAGTTGCTCAAAATAGCGTGGAATCTGGGCCTTTTTCACCCAGTTTTACAGTTTGAGCCATTGTTAAGCTACTAGGGCAGCCCAAATAGTTCATATATAAGGCATTATTTCTTTGATCACCTGTTCCATTGAGGTAATTCAGTTTTCATCAACTGGATAACGATACAGACGCTATAAACCATGCAGTTTATATAAGTTTTATTATTCCCAATTAAATTATTTTTTTCTACAAAAGGCCTGTTCTTGAATAGTACAAAGTTTATTGGCTTTTCACGATGGTGTTTTATTATAATTTGTTGGTCAGATTATTAATTCAGATTTCTTACGAAATATGGATCATTCAAGAATAAATTTATCTTCTACACATATACTGTATACGTGTTTAGAGTTATAAAACTACAATCATGCTTTTAAAGATTAACAAACTGATCAGTAACTCTTTTCTAAATTCTTTCTCTGAGATTTTACAAATACAGTCTTTCTCTTTAATGTCTCACATCAACTCGGCGCCCGAATACTGTGAAACTATTCGATCAAATTTAGACGAAAGTTCTTATTTAATTGTAAATAACCAAACAGATTGTCATCTCAGAAAGTGATTTCTTGAAATAGTATTTGACTTTGATATAAAATTCCAACTAAAGTTTCATTATTCCTCCCAAAAACCAATTCATCTTTAACATAGACAAGGATTAGATCATCACATAAATAATAATAAGACTATCTTCAATTTATACGATATTATAAGTGCAAAAATGAACATACTTTTGTATGGATAACTTTCAAGTAGTTGGTTATTTTTACTCAGTATAGATTTTCTGTTGAGAAATAATTCATTCTAGTTACAATGTGGTGTGTGCTACTTATGTCGACATAAGTAGCATATAACGCTAGTCAAAAATAGAATGTCTGACAGCAGAAGCTCAAGAAGATCGAGTAGGAAAGAACGAGAACAGAAAGTGATTGGTATGGAGATGTAAGAACACTAAAGTTTGAGACGACTGACTAATAGTTACAAAAGGGACAGTCAAGTTTGGGACAATTAATTGACACTTTGTAAATTAAATATTCACTGTATGATTCTCAGATTTTACTAAGATGTTCTGTAATTTTGTGTTCAAATACATTCGATTGTCCCCACCTGTGTTCTCATTCACTACAACAGTTTTATGGAATATTTCCAAAATTTCTGCTTAGCGAGTTATTTTATAAAACTTTAAGTTATATTTACCTGAAAAATAGTGTTACATCGAGATAACGTTTGAACGTGTGATTTATCTGTAGAAGACTGTTCATATTTAAGTGGTGAAAATTGCGAATGAAATTCATGGAAAGAAACTAAATCAATCTCTAGTTAACCATTGTGATTATTTAAATAAAATATTAGAAATTATGTAAATCTAAACAAAATGAAAATAAGATGGTGATATTTTATGGCAAAATATAGAATAAGAAGACAGGTTTGAATCAACCATTGGGATAAATCAGTAGATACGTGCTTGTATTAACTGGTAAATTTTTACTTTTATAGATTCAAGTTTACATGTTAAAACTTTCCTTCAGTTGTTGAGAAAGTACATAAAGCAAAATGAATTCATGATCTTGTACTCAGATCTTTATTCTTACAGTTTTCAAATGACTAGAGGAATTATGTGTGAAATCTTATGGACTGTTTTATTCATTTATCATAAATTTACGCTAGTCTTAAAGGGAATAGTGGTACAAAATGGTAACTAATGTCAAATTTCCTCATCTGCCTAGCGCAGATCTATACACAGTTTTCGTTCATGACTTCTTATTTTAAACAGAAAGGGTAAAATGAATTATGCAAGTCAAATAGTACATTACTTTACTGTAAACCCAGGTTCATAAGCGATAATTAGTCGGTAAAAGATTTGTTATTACTAAAATGAACCTGGATAAATCTCGATTACAAACGACTTCGTTACAAAATCTCTAATCTTATATAAGAATTTGCACTTAGTTCACGTTATCTTCAACTTGAATTGTTGATGATATTTTTTAAGGTTTATTCCTTATTTTCATACTGATCGGTTTTAATGACGTATTTTGTCTATTATCATTTAGGTAAATAAACTTATTAGCTAATGCTTGTTTGAACAACTAGTAATCTTACAAACACCAACCCAAATTGTGATCATCTTAGCACCTTTCAAAAGGATCACAGAAAGTTCAACCTTTCGATGTTTGATTTACCTTTTATTTGTGGATTATTATCACTGCTTCTAGGTTTTATCCTAGTATAGGTTTAATAAACCATCAGAACATCTTTTACTCTCTTCATTTTGAAGTTATCTGAACAAAACCCAGCTAGTTCAAATCATGCACCTAGTACCTCCCTCATGTCATAAGAAAAGTAGCTAACAACTTGGAAATAAAGGTTAGTGAATAGCAACCATTATAGCTTTCCGATACTAAAAACTATCTTTAGATTATTTTGATGCGCGTTCAGACTAACTCACCACTTAGATTTCTTTCTTGTTTTTGCATAACTTTGGAATTGTTCAAAAGAAAAAATTTGTGACTGTTACGATAAACATTCATAAAAAACATGTATTTCAGTTTATCTTAAACGCGGTTTTCTACTTTGATTTTTATCCTGTAAATTTGTAGAGTATCAAAACGCATTTAATATTTCCAGTTTTTTTGAAGACAAAACACGTTTTTAACCTTAAAGACTAGAACTTGCACTAAATTAAGTACTTACTAATTTCGATGGCTTAGAAAAATTGTGCGATAGGAGATCTAAGTACACGTATAATTTGATTCTATTCAAAAATGCTGATGTTGTAACATGAATTTGATTTCTTAGAGCAATAAAAAATATAACCATATGTAAGTACTTTGAATAAGTTTTACTGATATCATGCAAAGAAATACAAAATTTCACACCACTGAGTCGTTTAAACTATATTTATTTATAGCTTTAGATAGAACTAATGAATTGATCATAACACTCAAATCAGATCACAATTACATGGTTTATTTGTAAATACGTTCTTGTCTAGCTGAGAATATAGTGTAAAAAAGAATCATCATCATACTCAATAAGAATGCTAGATAAACTGTTAATACTAATATAAAAGAAACGATGAGAATGGGTAGATTTATAAACGCACCTCAGCAAAAAAAAAACGAACATTGACGAAAACAATTGTACTTACCCTGAGGTGCTGTTTGCAATCTCTCTAAAAAGCTATTGACAGGAGTGTTAGATAGTAGAAAAATCCACACAAAACTAGTTAAATATACTTGAAATTGATTGTTCTTAGTCCAATGATGCAGATACATATTATTCAGGAATAACGATATCTTATATTTGGTCTTTTTATGGGGCTCTAATTAAAGAGCGCCCAGTATGTTGTTTTTGATTTTATTATTGTCTTTGATAAAACATAAAGTGTGATGATATACCGGCTATTGTTGCGTAAGCCCTAGAGATAAGTATAATCTGTATTCAAAAACAATGTACACCTATGAGTGTAAAAATAGCCCACCTCTTTATTCATATTCATTCAATTCATGTGGGTGTGTACACATATTATGCAGTTCAGGTATGTACTTATGCTGCTGGAAAAGTGTGCATATATACATACGTATATCTACCTTTCTATTATATATATATATATATATATATATATATATATATATATATATATATATATATATATATATTTGTCAGTTAACAAATATTAGAACTTACGCTTTTACATCAGCCTACAAAAATTACGATTTACTTTTTTATGTTGTTTTTTAATGGTTCCTTCTTAGTGTTTCTCATTCGATATTTTCGACCTGCCTTTCATACAGCAATATTTAGTGTAGCACATACACCTCTCCTACAAAAATATGTACACAAAATTCGGACTAGAATGAAAATCTTTTTTGCTTTGTTGTATTCAGCATTATATATCCAGGTCTCATAAAATAAGTAAAAAGAAATAAGGTAGGTGGGATGGAGGATAAGTGCCAACATTTGGCCCGGATAATAGCTAATATTCAATCATTGAATAAATAAAGCATGCATCGAAGCACATAATGCAATAATGTGTTTGTGTGTGGTTATCTTTAATAAAGTATATCTTTGTTTTGAAAAATCTGTCCAAAATACAGAACGATCAACAACGCCAATTCATTCTCTTTTCTATGTCGTCGATTTACCTTAGAACTCAGTATAAATAACATATAATTCAATAATGGAAAATACTGAATCTTTCTTTAAACTATACAACATTATTCATTGATGAGCCAGGTTCACTACATTGTAAAGAAAGGAACTTAAAGTTTTTTGGTTCCCAAACATAGCTTTTTGAAATGTCAGTGGGAAATATTGATTCAGAAATTTATAAATGCTAATATATATATAATCTTATTTTCCGCGACAAATGACATGGTTATGTGTGCGTAGGTGTGCAATAAAATATAATCGTATTACTTGTCAAACAACCAGTCCTGATCAGTATAAAGGATGAATCGCTTTATCAGGAAGCTTAAAGGTTAAAATGGTGCTATTCTAGTCTATAAAGCATACACCAAAGATATACATAATTAGGGAAGAGATTATTCAACATATTTTTAATTTAGTAATGCACCTTGTTTATATAATTTGGCTTCCAAATACAATGAGGGTTTAGTCATTAGCATGGTAAATGAAGTTACGAAGTAAATGACACAATGTAAGCGGATAGGAATAAAATAGACATTAGGAGATCGATAATAACGATTACTGTATCAACATCTTACTGCGAGATCACAATTTCTGGACGAACCAATTAGTTGAGATAGTAAGTCTTGGATTTTGGCTCGAAATCCACTTATCCATATGGCTAAATAGAATAGTTCGTGATGGAAACTCTAACGTCCAACCGTAAATCCTAATTCCTTACATTAAATTATAATCCTCATTTAATTCTATTGGTTAGGTAAGTTTTCTCAACGTCACCTTAGCGTCTCTCAAAGAACATCCGTAAATTATAGTCTTGCTTACCATACTATATACATATATTTCGGGGATACTATGGGAAAACAAAACAAGCAAAATCTATGAAAAAACTAATAGATACTTACACATAAAAACAAATTATTGTTGATTACTAAAGTAACAATTTGGCAACTGGCTTCGGAAATATATACATATTTGTCCGTTATGTCTATCCTCATCGAATGTCACAATTTTAGGTCCAAAGATTCACTAAAGAAAAACAATAACCTTCATTTATTATCCCAATGTACTAATTATGACAGAAAATTTGTAAGATAAATAATTTACGCTTTTCAGTAAAACAATGTATATCTATTATCTATTTATCAAGCGTGTATGAAATACTACGTGAAGATAAAATTTAGATGAAATATTTAGATACCAAGTTTACTGTAATTTAGAAAAGTGTATTAATAACAAGGATGAGTATTTGGGTGTATCTTTATAATCCATCTTATAGATAATAAGATACTATAGGGATATTGAAAGATCTGTTAGAGAAGAGATTTTAACCCGTTTTGAACACGGTCAACAGATAGCTCCAAGTAGAATATTTCGTCAAGTGACCACAATTTTATCTGAAAACACCAAAATTATAAAAATGTCACTTCTGGAGGCTCCAACTGAAAATTTAGTAGTTTCTAAAATATAGCATGTTGGTCGGGTTTTTTCAAAGGGTCTCTAAATAACATTTTTTTATATAGAGAGTAGTTACTTAATTGATCGAATTGTGAATGACGCATGAAATTGATTTTTTCTAATCGCCTGAGACATGTAATTACATTTTTAGGAGTCAGCCAGTCAAATTAAATTATACAAATCCGACTGTTAATCTCTATGCAAATAAATAATATAAAAGTGGTGTATTCACATACTATTGGGATTTATTTCCGTCGTCAAATAAATCCATGTCAGTACTGTTTGTGTTTTAACTAAGCTTCGTTAGAATCAGGGTTTTGAGTACTAAGTGCAAGTCAGCACTCAGAGGACACTTACATACATAACAATTCTTAATTTCCTTTATATAAAAACCTCATTGTGACTCATATAACATAAAAGGAGAAAAAATGTGTCTGCTTTCGAAAGTGATCTGTAAAACCCGTTGTCTGGAAATTAATAGTCAAACTTTGATATAATAGATAGTCTTAAAGTAAAAACTTGGGTCATTCACTGTGTAAGATTAATTCTTTAATAAAATCTCCATCAACTCATCAAACACTTGTCACATAGAGAAGGCACTTGATATTGCTAGGGAAATTACCAAATGTGTTTTTACGATAAAACAGTATTTAACTAATCTCTGACAATAAAAGTATATGAAAACCATTTGCCTTTAGAACGAACTGTAGATAAGGATGCCATATGAAGCGACTAAACTGTTTCCTTTATTATATCTTTCAGAAAGTTGTCTTTGCAAAGTTTGCGCTTATCTATTATATGTATGTATGTTCGTCAAGATTATCTAATCCTTTACGTGAACATTCTAGACAAGTTTTTTTACAATATTTAGTAATCCAGACACTACTAACAAACCGTTTGATAGACAATATGAAATCAAGATTCAAGTATAACATGAAATTTGAAGGTAGAAGTCGATAAATTATTGACCAAAAGAAATAAATATACATCACAGTGTTACTGATAAATCCTATTTAATCTAATTTTGAATAGATAATTTAGTTTTCCAGTTACCCGTTGATGTGCTGTACTACACTTTTTATATATGTGCTTAAGAAAAGACAATAAAAAATATTTGCAGAATACAATTGGATTCACTTTTTACTTAAATTTATCGAGAGAATCAGTTGCACGATGATTTTTATGTACCGAAAGTAGTAATATAGCTAGATGCTTTAGGGTTAACTGACGATATGCTCACTTGATACCTTCTATGATTCACCATATAAATTTTAAGCAACTCAGTATTTCCCATTGTAATAGATCAGTACCAAAGTTCAAAATTGCAATTTCAAACAAATATTCTGCATATGACATTACTACTTATATGAGACATGGATGTATGCACTTCAATATTTGCAAACAATTAGAATAACTACTGATGGAAAGTCAACACCATCAGATGCTTGAACCTAATTGTCTGGTACAGTATTATTATTGTCAAAATACATAGAAGTATTCGATGAACAAAAATGGATAACAGAAACAGTAATGACTAACTCATGTTATCTATTTATGGATACAATGTATGTATGTCGATTAGCTTTGATAGCTTGATGGATGATTAAAAGAAAATTATGTTCAAATTGCATGCTACCTACTACGATTTAAGTAATACAGATGATAACGCAAAACTTTCGAAAGTCACGCTCACCAACAGAACTGATCAGCTTACGACTTTAATGATAAACCATGAGCAAGAGAAATCAATACAATAAAACCGAAAGTAGTTGTAATCACTTACACTATTATATCTGTGACAAATTTGAACATGAGTAGTGACAATGGGGATCGTCAGTATCATATCACATGATGATGCTCTATAAGCCCTCATACGAATGTGAATCAACTTAAACTTAAAAAACGGTATGGCATCAGTTGAGACAAACGTCATCCAACTTTCATGAAAAATAGAAACCGTGGAATACTGGGATGTCTGAACTCAGTTGTTGACGGTAATTGCCAGGAAACTTGAACATAAGCTTTTAACTAGCTAGAACTTGCCAGCACATCACACTTGAAATTTGGAGGAAATTGATCCCCAAGACGAAATTCGAACGTGAGTAACCTAGTGCCATTGTCAAATGCGTTATTAATAAGCCATTTGAGCCGCGACTAACACGCAGGATTTAGATTGTTACAATGAATGACTGCTGAGTAGTAACCAATATCATGCTCTTCTAGAACTTAGTGACGATTGAATTCTGTCGACCTGGGCAAAATGAAGTAAATAAGCTTAGTTAATGGTGTGCGGGAGGTTAATATTTCTCGGTCGACCATATAACAGAAAGATCCTTCTTCCTGATGTACCTGAAAAAGAAACTGGATTACCAGCGATCTCAGTAATCTGGTACGGAGCTGAAACTTAGAGAACAACTGCAACCATCATCGAAACAGTACAAGTATTTATAAACAACTGTCTACGCAGAGTAACCAAGATCCGTTGACCGGATACCATCAGCAACAACCTACTGTGACAGAGAACAAACCAACTTCCATCTGGAAGATGAATTAAGGAAAGATGTCGAAGGTGGATAGGACATACATTGCGGAAACCATTAAACTGCATCACAAAGCAAGTCCTAACTTGGCATCATGAAGGGAAAAGAAAAGGAGGAATACCAAGGGACACATAGCGTTGGGAATTGGAGGTACATCAAAAGGATGAATAGCGATTTTAAACAACTGGCGAGACGGCCCAGAACAGAAATGGTTAGAGAATTCTGGTGTGGGAGCGCGGTTTCAGAGTCCGAATGACAACTTCCCTGGGGTGGGCCGCAAACTAATTTTCAGTCTTTGATGTGTTAAATCCGCACTTTAACGGGTTTACCCCCAGCAATGGAGATTCATGGGGTGAGGTGTGTTATCTTTAAGACCGATCTCCTCTAGCCCCTTCTCTTTATTCTAAGAATGCAGTGTTAATGCAGATAATGGCTGTCTGGGGAAACACCCCGCTGTTGTTTTACTTTAGCACCATCGGCAATACGACTACGCTCTCGGACTTAGGGTTGTTGCTTTTAGTACTATCAATTCCTAACAAGCCTTTCTGACATGATAGTACCTAAAGGAACAAGGGTTTTGATGCATCAGAGCAAAGACTGGAAAAATAGTAACTTCCGTAACTATTTTATGGGTCAATATTGTATACACTCCTATTGAGTAATTACTGTATAACTGGAATACCCCTTCTAACTTCCGTTTAATTTTTTCTGTTAACTCACTAACCGTTATTGTACAGCTATACTTAATTTATTTTATAGTGTAATGTGGTCCAATACATCTGTGTATAAGCCCACATGTGCTTGAAATAAGTAATGATAAAAGCCTAGTTAATGACTTCTCTTCGGACTCAAGGCGAAGTACAGAGAAAAGCTTGCAGATAGGTGGACCAATAGGATTGTAGCTTACATAAACTAAAGGTTAACTGTGCATGTCACAACGTATGCTTGGTCAAGTCTACAACGCTAGGCTATGGACGGAATATAAATGAAAATAATATATTTGTAATATCCCAATGAGTAGAAAAACAGATGTTTCTGATTCCCAGAAGAAGTAGCTCACACTGAGCCACGAAACGCCAGAAAGATCTAATTTTCTACTCATTTGGATATTACAAATATATTATTTTTATTTATAGCCATCTACCCAACGCTCATTTTATTTGAAATTATTGAGTCAAACCTTAGTAATGATATCTATGGACGGAATAGTTGACGCGAAATGTAAAAGAACTATTATCGGGTTTCTGGTTGATGAATTTAACATGTGATATTGCATAGAATCTCAAGATGACATGCTTCACCCAACATAGCTCTCTTGAGTCACCACAGCACACAAGCCCGACCACTTAGTGAAGGGATTAGCTACGATCAGGTAGTTATAAATACATTTCTTAATAGAATAATCTTAAAGACCAATTATTTTCGTTACTCTCTCACTAATTTTATTTATAAACATGTGAAGGACTTATCCTACTCAAAAATTAGGCATAATCTCGGATAATATACACTATTGACTAGTAAATACAACACAAGATGGAACGTAATTTGCTATATATCAGGAGATTAAGAATCATCATACGCAAAGCACTATATTGGGCTTAGGAAACATAGACGCGAGAAATTTACCAATCAACTCCACATGTGCACACGGTGCGTGTAAGTAACTGAAATGTAACACCTCATGAAATAATATAGGTGGTTTTCCTTGCACACTTTAACGACAAAAACTCGTACTTAGCAGACTGGATTATTTATTTAACCGTCGGGTAGTAGACATGAATTAGATATATCTGTTAAGTTTTGGGTAGTCAGAACATATTGTTAGCCCCTAACCAACAAATGTTGTTCAGAGAAAGTTCACGGACATATGGGTAGTTAATGAGTTGTTCTTCAGTTAATTATCATTCAATAAAGCAAACACTATCATTATTGAATAACCCCTAATTTTAGAAGACAGTGTTATGTCCCGATAAGAATAATGAATGGTAACTTTTGGGATCCATTTATGGACCAATACTATGCGTATATTTTTATCGTATAATTGTTAAATAATTAAACTATACATATTCATGTCCCTCCTATTATGAGCTCTATTTTGACCTATGAATTAATATTACACGATTTACCATTCTTGAATTATGCCCTGTCTAGCAATTACTATCTCCTACATTCACGGCCACATTTGGCTAATACTTGTACAAATGGTGTTTCATATTTTATGGTACAGTGTGGTCTGTGTGGTTGGTATATAAAACCAGTATGGTTGAAATAAATGATTCATACCGCAGAGGCTGAGATTGGTGTTTTGGACTTAACTGGCTGGGATAGGAAGGAAGCAGGACCGATAAGTATTCTAGACTGCTCGCACGGGCTTTATGTGTCATTGGTCCGGTCGATAATTCATTGCTCTCTAATTAGCGTTATCATCGCGTCATACATTAACAGGGCACATGGGTCACAAGTTATGACAGACAGAAAGTATATCGAAATGACTGTTTAACACTATAGTTAGAAAATATTACGTAATTCGCCAAATGCACGAATGAAGCTTAACTATAAGCCAGGATTATAAGTGCGATATAGAATACGGAACATACAAATATATCCAAAAAAATCTGTTAAAGCTCATGTTTAAAGATTGAAATATATTTACAAGTGATCGTAATATTACGAGGGTTATTTAAGCGACCCATTTCATACACCGCGTATCTGAATGTATTTCATAACACTTCCTACTGCAGTATGGTAGACCACAAACTATACAGTTATATAGACCTTGAAAACCACAGACATTACAAAACTTCCTCCTGGGTAGCCTGCTCGGAGGAACGGCAGCCGTAAAATAGCAGGCACCAGTAGTTCCTCCTTTCGTTGCTTGATATTCTTCATCCAGTAAAATCTCAAACGTTTTCCTACAGCGTGCACGAATATTCGATATGCGTTTCTTTTTTCGGCGCTTATTGTTGGCTGAAATATCTTCATCCTAAAACGAAAAGTGGTAAACTGATGCTAAAGAACTATCCAAACCTCATCTCCAAATTGTGGTCTGTTCGTTCCTTTCACATCTGAGTGGGGTTCTTCAATGTGATTATCCTGTTCCAACAAGCTAAGAGTTTTTCTCTGTCTCCTCTCTTTAGCTGCATCATCTAAAGGACGTCTAGTAGCCTCACGCAAAAGTTCGCGTTTTTCCATATCATAAGATGCACTTCATTTTTGCACATTAAAGGATATAAAAAATGAAAAAAGGTTAATATTTTAAAGCTACACTTGAGCTACATGCTGAATATAATTGGTACTTGAGAGAAAGGTATAAAGAACAATAGCTGTTATGGAAAAAGTTCGATTCTCTGAAACACGGTACGGATTAAACAAGAAATCCTAAGCGGAAAGTATGCGGGACGTGACTCAGAAAATATATATATCTGTATAAAAGACTATTGACTGATAACACTACTTAGATGCCCAAACTTCGTGGAGTCCGAAACAATGGCTCATAATTGACAGTAAGAATGCTTAAACCAATCAGAGAATACAGCAGTTTATATTCTGCTATACTGAGAGAAGCAGCTTCAATCTTGGCAATACCGCTTAGCGTTATGTTCTCACATTTGCTAAGTCGAGGCACATCACCGGAAATTTGTAAGTTGGCTCACATCACACCAATTTTCGAAGGAGTTCGCAGCGAACCTTCAAGCTACCGATCGACAGCACTTCTCTCTATACCCTCAAAAATTATGGAGTCCCTGACATGCGACGGTATACACGACTACTCATTATCATAAACTTCTTTTCACCCCCCAACAGCACGGTTTCGGAAAAGGTCACACTTGTATAGCCAACCTGTTGACTGTGGTAGAGAGATGGACAGCCATCCTTGATCGCAAAGGGAAGGTTGATGTCATATACTATGACTTCTCAAAAGCTTTTGATAGGGCCAACCACATATGTGTTATCAATAAGCTCAAACAACTAGGTATCAAACCACTTTTAATTTGTTGGCTCACCTTATATTTAAAATATCGATATTTTAAGGTCAGGGTTCACTTCACTTACTTTCAGGCTATGCAATGTCCTGGTGGGGTCCTCCAGGGTTCAGTATTAGGAACTCTGTTTTTTTATTTATTTATGTAAACGATCTTCTAAAGCAGGCATCGTCAGATTTATTGCTTTTCGCTGATGATGTGAAACTCTGGAGAGAAGTACGTAACCAAGAGGGTAAACTGGCACTTTAGGAGGATCTGACTCGACTCTAAAGGTGGTCAGATGACAACAGGCTTACCTTTAACACTTCATAGTGTAAAGTAGTCCATCTGATACATTTTGCAGATTACAACTTATGCAACTCCCCTCTAGAGGTATCGCAAGTTGAGAAAGATCTAGGAGTGTTGGTACCCTATGATTTAAAGTGTTACGCCAACTGTGACAAAAATGCCCTCCGAGCAAACCTTGCACTGGTAACTTTGAAGCTCATTTCCGGTCACTTCGACGGAGGAACCTTCGACACCATCTCCAACAGTTTTACTTGTCCCCATTTAGAGTACGAAAACATAGTATTTCCTCCCACATTCCAAAAAGATAAGGACACTCTGGAACGTATCCAACGGTGAGACACGGGACCAGTTCGGGGACTCAAATTAAAGCCATATGAAGAGAGCCTCCAATCACTGAACCCTCACCCATTAGAGTACAAGCGTCTTAGAGGTGACCTTCTAATGGCATACAACATCCTTGATACTTCTGCACATCCCCATATATACCTACTTGAACTTAGTCCCAACACAAACCTTAGGGGTAATGCCCGGAAACTGAAGACAACACAGGAGAACAGATCATATACACACCTTCTACTCTTTAAGAGTAGTCAAATTCTGGAATTTGCTGCCAGTTGAGCTGGTTCAGGCGACTTCGCAGGAGAACTGACATATTCTTAATGACTAAGGACAGTATCTTAGAGAAAAGTTGGTAAGTCAATTTGCCAACTTTCTTCTTTTTCTCCTTTTGTCGTTAGTATACCTAGGTTCCTACCTGGAGGTATCGGTGATCTATTGTTACTAGATACAGAAGCCCGTTAAGCGAAAGATCCTATTCCGTCCAGAACAATTTGAATCATGTTCAATAAGTACTTTGCATCACCTGACAGGCACTTAGGAAAGCATCACCAACCATATGTCAAATTTACGCCATTATTGTAAGAAATAAGACCAATAGATGATAACAATATATCAGTTATATTACTCGAGGAGTCAGTTTAGGATACATATGCGAAGGTATTATGAAGAATACCAAATAACTAAACCGTGCAGAGCTTTTTTCTATTGTTTGTATACACTAAACACAGCTTACTAATGACTTTGGGTGAAAGAATTTATAGTCTGTTTATGTGTGGCTAACACATTTGTTTCACAACTATATGTATCAGAAACAATTATTTTAATATTTGTTTTCCATATTCAATCGTTTTCGGATCACCAAGTAATAATGCTATTTTTACTGTATATGTTAATTAGCTGTAATCAACCTGTACTCCTGCAACCGATCAGTCTAAGTTAGCAGAGCCACTATCTACTGGTCAAGGTCACTTTGAAGATTAAATATATAGATATACTCACAGAACACTTAGCCATCAAAAACTGTTAGGCCATGAATTGATAACAGAAAACTGAGAGTCCTTTGAAAATTTTTTCCAAATATGTACAACCTGAGTTATGAGGACTCGTTCGAGCATTGTAACAAACCCTGCAAATCAAGCGGCTTCCGACTACAGTTCAGGTCAAAATCCAATAAATCACAAATCTGTTCTTCAATGCTTTATCCAATAACGGAAACCAAACTGACATACTGTCTGCGTGGATTCTTTTTTGTATTTTATTTGATTGCGTTTTACGGAATCAGGAATTGCACTAAAGGCTTAATCTGACGTGGTTTTCGTCAGAAATTAATTATTTGAGTCTGATTGTTTCCGGTTTTTATTTCAATTTCAGTTGAGGAACGAAAAAATGTTTACTGGGTTTCATAAACCTTTTGGACAGGAGTCCGAAAGTTTATTCAACTTTCTTTAGGACCTGTCGGTAGATGGATATATAACTTCATGTTTATGTAAAACGTTTTACTGGATGACAAGTCGTCTATTATAAACCTGCAAACTATTACGCAGTTTCTTCATTGATTCCCTGTTTCAGAACACAAGAAATTTGAAGTCTTGTCAGATGTAGAACTATTATTAAGCAATCTAGAAACTGTGATCAAATCACATTAGATTGTTTTATATGACAAGTGGGATAGGCTTCGTTTCTCCAGTCTCTAATCACACCGTAGTTTTAGAACACCGGAAATCAACTTGGTTGCGACTATCCAAACCGCTTCCGACGAATTTGTCTTTTCTGGACAAGAGCTGATTTTCTACATTAAAACACTAGACTCAAGGGTGATAGTATATTGTATCCGAAATCCAAAAGGATGACAGCTTTTTCAGGGCAGTGCGCAATGGTTTTCAAATAATAGATGACGAAGACCTCTGGGTCAATGAGTGTATAGACCACAGGGAACTCAACCTCATTTAGTGTGCATTTATCAGTGCCTTAGCAACTAATATGAATCATGATGCTATCAGTGAATATTCATCAGTGACTACTCATCAGTGAATACCGAATTCTAGGACATTCGGCTGCAATTAAACGCAACTCAATTTCGTAAATGTGCCCTTCAGCTTAGCAACCAATCAGGATAAGGCGGGAATTATTACATCCGCCATCTTCGTAAGCAATGGCGGTCGGCTTTCTTCGTTCTGTGCTTCTTTCAGCTATTTATTTTGTGTAGCTGTGTAATTTAATGTCTCAGTGTGCGAAAATGCCGCAGTTAGTGTAATGTTCTATATAATGGTGTGAACTTTATTTCGAATCAGCGATGTTTTCTGGGTTTTTGCTGCTTCTACTCAAGTCAATGTATTTCTTCAGGCAATCTGGCTAGTCTTGTGTTATAAAATGTCGGTCGGCTTTCTTTGTTCTGTGTTTTTTCCGCTATTTCTTTTGTGTAGCTACAGAATTTAATGTTTCAGTGTGCTGAAATCCGAAAGTTAGTGTAATACTCTAAACGTTCGAGCAAAGTTTTTCCTGATTTCGCTTTGTTTCCTGGGTTTTACCTGCTGCTACTGAAGTCACTGTATTTATTCAGCTAAGCTGGCTAGTACTAACATAAGACCTTACGTTTTTAAACGACAATCGGTTATGTTTTACCTTGTTTTCTAGATATTCAAAGCCGAAGTTCGTTTTTATTTAGCTATAATAATTGTTGCTGCCGCCTGTGACTCCAACTGTTCGCATGTTCGTTCCTAACTGTCCTTTATGATGTTATCGGCAAAACGAAAGGAAACAATCTGCGTTTTTTAAATTTTCTTCAGTATTATGGACAACACTGATGATGTCACGGGTATTCAGTGTTTGACAACGCTTCTACCAGTAACACCTTCTAATATATTTCGTTCCCACCAAGAGAAATCAAAAGACAGAGTCGAGGAGATCGGAAGAGTATATTTGGCGATGACCAATATACCGGGATTCTCTGATCTAATCTGGCTAGCGATTGTGGTTGATGTTGAGCACGGCGTTACTACACGTGATCTGGTGCGGATGCCTGACCGAGCGCCTTCAGCTAGATGAGTCCACTAAAACATATGGTCAGCATCCAATGTCGAAAACTTACAGAGCTATTTATTTTGGGGATTTATTTACCGCTACAGATCACTCCCCCCCTAGTGGGGCAGTGACGACCCTAAGACGTGGCCAGCCAGAAGTTTAAACCCAACGAGTTTGTCGTTGGTAAACACTCTTCTGATAGCTTACTAAATTTAGCAGCGTCTGGTCGTCTTTCCTTACTATATGGGACGGAGGTACAACATAGTAAAAAAAGAAAATGTACAATGAAAATTTCGGATCCTCATAAACGTCATCGTTCTTTTCCAGCCGTCCTGGAAAAGAAAAAAAAATGTAAGTGCATGTCGAAAATACACTCGTATATGCGTAAAAACACAAGGTCGGCGGAAAAAAAAGGAAAATAAACTCATGAGCACGTAATAGCGTTAAAAAATTGTTTTTTTTTTTTTTTTTTTAATAGAAATAAAAATATATAAGCATATTAAAATTGTTTTTTTTAAAAAAAAATAATATAAAATGTCGAGAAGTGCCTTACGTGCAATA